CGTCCAGGAGACAGTACACGGTGAGATGACCATGTGACTGTCGGCAGCCGACGCCCCATCTCCGGCTCATCTCTCTCGAGGGATGTCCTCCTCCGCGGATACCGCCTGCACGGACGCCGAGGAGGACGCCGAGGATGTGGAGAACGACGTCGCAGGAACGGCGCAGTCGTCACGTAACCTGTCGTCGGTTCACCGTCGCCGCGAGAACGATCACTTGGAAGGACTGCGGTTAGATGGGTCATCGGTCGTACGTCCGCTATCATCCGAGGACACTTCCGGGAGCACCGAGGGACGCCCGTCGGCGCCTTGGGCGCGCGGATAAGGAGAAAGACATCGGCGCGTCCTCGTCGCGAAGACACGCGCGCTTCGTAATTAGCCTCCACGAGGCACGGCTGCCAGGTGGATCGATCGGTGCCGCACTCCGATCGATCGTCCTCCTGCTCGACAGCTGGACTGTCGACGGTCGGCCGGCAGCCGCGAGCGAATTCGGCGAAGCGCGCGTCCGCGAACGACCGGCTGGGCCGATCGATAGATCGCCGACGACGGCCGTCGTCGTTGACACGAAACGGTCAGCCGAGTCGGCAGACGAGCCTGCCGAATCGGGCACTCGGCGCGAGGGAACGAGCGAATTTATCAACGGAGTCGAGACGAAGTTTCCTGAAGAAGAGCCAGCGAGCAACACGCCGATCGCCGCCGGTGTCGAGTGGTCCTCAGGCTCGATAAACGGACTAATCCCGTCGGACATCGCCGGTCTCCTGGGTGAGCCGTCAATCCGATTTGTAAAATCGATCCGGCGCGACGGGACAGAGCAGCAGCTCGCCGTGGTCGATCTCGAGACAGGCCGGCCAATAATCGGCCGGCTGATCGCCTTCCGCCGGCTATCAAGCGCGCGATTAATTACACGTGTCGGCCGAGTCGATCGCACACATTCTGTGTTGATTCTCCCAGCGGACAAATCGGCGGATCAGTTTTCCCAGCCGGCTAGTCGCGGGGAAATCCGTCGTCTCCGCGGCAAGAACCGCTTCTTCTCGTCGGAGGGAGCGTCGACTCGCGTAACTGTCCCATTCCGAGCTGCCGCGATGATGTCCGGAAGGAGGACGTCGTTCAGATGACGAAAGAAGTCCTCGATCCAACCCCGCCGTCATCATTCATTGAGAATCGCCCTCTCGACGGCAGCCCGAGAAAGCCGGGCCGGCTCAATGGGGAGCGAGGATAGCGATAAACGGCATAGGGATCCACGACGAGGGAAATCTCTCGAGAGACTGGCGACTTGCCTCGTGTTCCGTCACTTCGGAGTCCACCGGGGACTCCGTTCTATGTGGAAATCGCGGACTGCGATCGGGCCGTCGCGGTAATCCCGAACGCGCGACGAGACGCCCCAAGTGCCATAAGTAACGCAGAGGAGTGCTGATTCCCAGTCGGTCTACCGGAAGCGCGTGGTCGCAAGAGGAACTGAGAGCGAGCGAGCGAGCGGGTTTCCCCAATTGCACGAGAGTGCAACCACGAAATCGTTTTTACGCCACGAGCTCGCTCGGGACTACCACCGCAGAACTGAGCGCTCGCTTTCTTTTTTCTCTTTCTTCTTCTTCTGTCTCTCTACCTTCCCCTCTCTCTCTCTCTCTCCCTCTCTCTTTCTCTGTTCGGAGAGCCACTTGTTACAAGGTTGCGCGAAGTCGCGTCTCGACGCGGCCTGTCTACGAGCTCGCCGCGATCTTTCGCGTCCGCGTATCGGTCTAATGAGTCGCGACGTCGCGAACCACGTCTCTGAGAGTGCGCGAGGTGTGCCGTTCTTCTTGTCGCGCGTGATTCCGTGAGATACCTGGAGGTGAGAGTCTGCGGTGCAAGCGCGCGGGATCTTCGCAATGTGTCGCGGCCGGCTCGAGATCATCCTAGCCGCAGGCTAGCCTAGGTCCTGACAGCCACCGCAGCGACCAGGACCCGCGACCATTCAAGCGAGAAAGGATGCCAGGGGGGCGCAGGGGCCTGGTAGCCCCCCAAAACACGTTCCTGGAGAACATCATACGACGCAGCAGCAGTCAACGTGAGTTCACGGGGAAAGTTGGCCCGATTGATTCGGCAAATCTACACCGAGAGAATATTATAATCTTCTTTCATAAAAATTCTTTTCAATTTTACTGTACTTTTAGTAATCCGGGAATAGACTGTCAGTCTATTCTCTACTGATAGATTGGAGGTCTATTTTACTGAGGAAATTTAAGTATCCAATTTTGTTAAACATAGCAAGTGTTTTAATAGCACGTTTCAATTCCTAAAATATAAATAGTACACATGAAACGAAAGGATAGTGGATCATTGCAGAATGTTGACCAATTCCTCGACTGGCGAATCTCCTACAGTAATTTTTACTATAAAATTCTCTCCGTGTATAGTTTATTGGGCAAGATTAAACGTTACGACTAAACAGTTTTGTCAGTACAGCGAAAAAATTATGTGTGAAAGCAATTCAACCTGCTTAGAGGAGTTCGTTGCCACTAAATTTCAATGTAAATATCCATAATGAGAAACATGTTATTATGGATTACGCAATTTTTAAGTTTTTCTTTTTATATCAATACACGTGTATGTGTATTTATATTTTGCTATACTACTCCATTGGTAGCAGAGTAAATATAATAAGGATTTCAATGAGTATTGTTGCTTTAGCTATTTTTTATCTGAAACAATTAATACTTTAGTTCCGGAATTGGTTGCATATACCAAGTTGTATTTCCCATCAGTTGCGAATCGTTTGCATTGTACTAACAAATCTACCGTGCTATAATATCAGAGTTTATTATTAAACGCTACAACCACAAAACTTATGTAGCACTCTGCGAATTATTATAATAAAGCCAACTAGCTGTTCGTGTATTATCACGGCTATACATTTGCTAGGTTAGCGAGATCTTCAGTCATTACAGAAAGTCTTTATTTTTCGCGTTTCCATTTCTAGCCCGTGCGAATTCGAAAAGTCGCCGAGGCGGAAAATCGCCACGCGGAACTTTGCGATTTGAGATTGGTGGGATCGCGTGGAACGAAGTGAAGTCGTTGGGCCAGGAAGAGAAACGAGCGCAACTTAATTATTTCCTTTAATGAGGAAGTTTCGGCCGAATATCTCGATTTCATGCAGTGAGTTATTTAATGATTTGTCAGATTCGTGAAGCAGAACGCACTAGAGAGGGTAATATATGCGTGATGACATATATTAATTTGTCACTTTATGCGTTCATTTAATTGATAATTATTGGTCACATAAATCAATACTGCTCGTTATGATTTCATATCATTATATATTTATGTTTGTAAATACGTATCGGTGATTTGACGTCTGTAATGATTTCACCATTGTCGCGTGCTTGAATTTTATATATATATATATATATATATATATATATATGTAACGCGCGAGCAATATTACGTGGGAAATATTTTCGCGGATTCTCACGAGCGTCATAAATAAAGTCCATTGGCAGTTATGGGTGGGCTAAATCAAGCACGTAATTCGATATCGATTTTCCTAATTGGAATACCTTGAATTTCCGGAATCTGCCGGAATTCTCTATATTCATATGCGAGTTTGCAAATAGCAACGGCAGCGAATCCGACAAATCGTGAACGAGAGCGATCCTCTTATTCGGCCGCACGTATAGCTCGATCAGCTCGTTTTTAGAAAACGAGTGCTTGTTAGAGAGTGCCGGGACCATCACCGTTCAAAGCAAAAAACAACTTTAAGGGTGAATTTTAAGTACCATTCTCGAACTCGCGGCAGGGGTCGATGGATCTCCATAGTATAACAAAGTCAGTCGAGCTATAACTTAGAGTTAATTAAAAGTTCGGGGTAGTCGGCCAAATCACAAAGCCTGTCGCTCCCGATTTCGTTCTTGTGTGTTGTTCTGAGCGGTCAAGCACGCGCGCGAAACCGCGGTTATTTATGACGGGCGAAATAAATCGCGCATACTGTCGCGACTCTGGCGCCATGCTCCCGTCATTCTTGTTCGTTCTTGTCTCATTGGATTGAAAATTTTTCAAACGGCGACTTGCAACTTCGCGTCAGGCGCCCGGCGCGATTTAATAACTGTGCGGTGGAACGATTTGGCTCTACATTAAACGTACAGATTTCACTAAACTTAAAGTGCCAGTGCAGAATCTCGAAGTACGACACTGTATAGATACCGGTGTATTGTTCTTTAATATGAGAAATGATTACTCAAGAATCAACTTGTATTGATGCTTAAAAACGAGGACTTATTAATGAATTATTTAACATTCAATCATTTCCACAATCTACCTGCATTAAATTTCCTCAACTCTTTATTTCAAAATTCATTGCAATGCATTTGCTGTGCAACTGTGCAGCTGTAGAGAAAGAGAGAGAGAGTTGTGACAAAGGAATATTAAATAATCCAATCAAGATTAATAGATAAATGAGTTAATAAGAGAAATGAGTAAATAAGAGAAACTGTCTTCTCCCTTCATCTCTTCATTGTTGTTTTCTGTTGGCATTAAGAATTTCGATAGAATTTGAAAATTTAAAGGAGGTAAGAAGAAAGTTTTGTCATCGATGCATCCTGTGTCCTATATTTCGTTCTGGAGCCTCCTGGTTGTCATCGTGGTCAGGCACTCAATTTTTATACGGAAAGGTACAAGTCAATCGGAAACGCAATGTTACTAATAACCGCTCATTAACTGATGACGAGTGAATGCTACACATAAAACAATTGTACTCTACGGCTAAGAAAAATGATAGTTTACTTTTCTCCTTTTAAGTAATGGTTATTTTAAGTAATGGTTATTTTCAATAAAGAATACCTTTTACATAATATTCTTGAGATATATTCATCACAAATTTGAGGAAAACTCATTGTCATGTATTCAAAAGAAGAATTTATTGTCTTTGAATATCATAAAGCTTTATTAGGTTAACTTTATACATAGTAAGCGAAATTTTCTTTTAATTTAATATTCTTCAATGAAATGTTGAACTTTAACTCAGAATATATTTTCCACAAATTTGATGCTTATAATGAAAAAATGACATCTATTTAATATAAAATATAAACTTAGGAAATATTTAAAACGAGTAACACATTTACTCCAATATATATCTTACTTATTGTTTACGAGCAACATTTTCAATACCTGCATTCAGTCCCGCAGACACTTCATCACCGGTAAATCGATAATTACTAAATATTTTCGGCCAGCCACATTCGCATCTACATATTCTCATTTCCTAGATTAATCAACGCGAAATACGTGACTAGATACGGACGCAGTTGGTCGAAAGTGTTGAGTAATCGATCTATCTGAATATCGATTTGAATATTGAATGAATCGATTCGCGGGACTGAATGTACAGAGGGCGTCGTTGTAGCGACAACGTCAATTGCGCGCCCGTTCTCGATCTTTTCGCGCCGAGCAGCCGCCATCAATACATCGATCGACATCGCCTCACGTTTCATGCGTCTCACGTCCGTCGAAAGTGTGTCTCGTGCGGGAATAAGTGTCGGGAATGTCGAAAACAGCGATGTGCCATCGTCGGGACGTATCAAGAGTAAGTCATTAGGGAGCAATCCCCTCGTATCTCGTTATCATACAACCGATGCTTGTCGCGACGTGTCGCGTCTCTCTTACGCTTGTCACTATCGTCGACTCTCTCAAATAGTAGTAGAATCGGGTGATTGTCGGACTTATTAGTCGAGAAACAGAAATTCGGCGATCATTAGAGAAAAAGAGAAAGAAAACGACGCGAGGGATATTCGTCGAGTCTCGGTCGATAGCGTCAGTCAGTTGACAAGAGCGAGGAGTGTATCACAGAGGGCGTCGGACCGCGACATCGTTCGCGGCGTGCATATAACACTGATCGACAAAATTCGACTTTTTTATGCCACAAAAAAAATGATAGGTGATTTCGATAGAATTTTTTCCGTCAGATTACGAATCCGAATCGCGACCACGTTACAAAAACTTATTGCGAGTGTGATCGCTAGTTAAATAATGTATTTTATAAGTTATGTACACTGAGGAAAAGATACTTGAAAATTTATTTGTGTGATACAAAATTTATTTTCGTGAATGAAGTATATTTCTGAGAAATAAAATTTGTTTCTGTGAAATCAGTTTTTGTCCTACAAATAAATTTTCAAGAATTTTTTTCTCAATGTAGTATTAAGTCACATATTTTTAACAAAATATTCATGATTTTTGCAATAATTTTCGAAATTTATTTCATTAGTCCCTTTACACTAATAAAAATCTATTTTTTTTTCATTTTAACACTTAATTACAATTTTTGTATATTTTTAATTAACAAATTAGTATGCTTTTATTTTTTCTATAAAAGATACATTATAATTAATCAAAATAATCAATAACAAATCAAAAATATTAATTATTAGTTATTTTCGTAAAAAATACGAGTATTTTACATTATACTTCATTTTCGTTAAACCGGAAAAACACCTATTTCCATTTCACTCAAAAAAATATGTTTTTTGGAATAAATAAAGAAATTGTCCAGAGAATTTTAAAGTCCAACTCTTAAGCTTTCCATTGATCAGGCATAAAGTCCTCAAATTTTTTTTTATTATAAAAATATGAGCTTTTGAAAAAATCACTTTTTGCAAAAATTTCAAAATTTTTTTACATTTTACTTGATATATTTTTTTTTATTCGTTAAATATGGCTTTCTTACATATATCATCAGATTACTCAGAAAATTTCCCATCGATTAAAAAAAGAACTTCGTAATTGATTAATTACAGCCTGAGATATAAACCGTCAAAGTTTGCCAGGTTATACTAACCCAGTCCGTACTAACCGGGACTTTTTTATAGTCCGTACTCTAAGGATTAAGTATCGGGAGTGTCGCGAAAGGTGATGTGCGACCTTCGGGACGTATCGTAAGTACGTAATTAAGGAGTAATCTTCCTCGTTCTCGGTATGTCACCGGTACTTGTCGCGACGTATCGAGAAAGCCTCTCTCAGGGAGAGTTTACAGCTTGGCAGACAAGCAGAAAGTAGAAAGGCAGAAGCTGCTTAGAATTCGCGCCGACAGAAGAATAGAAATTATCGACTACCACCTAGCGCGAGTTCTGATAAGCTTCTATCTTTCTGCTTTCTGTTCGTCTTTAAAATGTGAATTCTTTCTTGTTATCGCTATTCACCCATTCGAGTAGTAATATGATCGAATTTTTGTCGAGTTTATTAGTCGGGGATTATAAATATAATGGTAGAGGAATAGGTATATAATGTAATGTCAGAAATGTATAATAATAATAATATATAGGCACAATGTCGTATTAGAATAGCATCGCGGTCTGTTAGGCGCTCAATGGTCCCACATGGAGAAGTCAATCACAAACTGTGCGATAAATAATGATTACACGTTAACTGATGGCGAGCTTTTGATACGTACCACGATTCGTACAATTTGATAATTTGATTATTTCTCGAAAGTCCAGTATGTTTCAAGAGCAGTGTTGTCAGAAAAATAAATAAAATTGTACCAAATATCGTAACGTTATATGACGGGTTGCTGCCGGTCGCAAATATAATTACAAATATTTAGGATGCTATTCCGTAACTGTCTACCGACAACTATAGAATCGGTACGTGTCGTTGCGCAGATTTTCTATGGTATGAAAAAGCGCAACGACACGTACCGATTCGATAGTTGTCGGTAGATAGTTACGGAATAGCACTTCTGTGCCGGGATTCTGTAACTCGTCATGCAATCGTTATATGCTAATAACGACAGTTACGCAGCTTTTCTGCCATATGTTATACCTGCGCAACTGTCGTTATTAGCACATAACGAATGCATAAGTTACAGAATCCTGGCACAGATCTCTCTCGCACGAAAGTTCTACGCTAATCGCAAAAAATCAAAGATGCTGTCAACAAATCGTTCATTGTAGTATATTCGGTACAATTATACCAAAACTGGGGCGATTTGGAAACCGTTTGGAAATGTAATTGTTGTGATCCCGTGAACGTGTTGAGTATAGTCCTCTCTGTCGATTGTTTTTGTACTCTCGCGCGTCCCGTACTCTTACACGGTGAAGTCATTGGTTGCGTTCAGCAGAAAAAACTGCTTTGTAGCTGTTGTAAAATCCGTGAATCTGATTGGAGTATGCTTTTAATTTTGGTTAAATCCAAGAGCATGTACCAATCAGATTCACGAATTTTACAATACAGTTGCAAAGCAGCTTTCTCTGCTGAACGCAGCCATTACGTCCCGAGCCAGCGAGCAACGCGCACATCGCTCGACGCGGACTCCGTGTGTTAGTGTGCGTTGCTTATAATTCTCGTTTCTCAATTTATAGTCGGAATATTTAATCAGACGATCTCGTCGGTATCGCGCATTAATTGACATGCGCTTCTCCGATTGAATCGTACCTGCGCGAGTGTCAATGCCGCTGAGTGAGTGTTCTGTACGACGAGACGACATGACGCCAGATCGAAAGACCAGGATGGAGGACACAGACAGTGATACGTCATGTGTTTCCAGGTGTGTGAAATTATTTTTTGTCACGTTGAATACACTGAAAAACTCATTTAGTTGAGTTAACCAAAATTTGATTAAAAGGTGGAATAAATGTTTTAATTGTGAGAACCAATATTTGGTAATTTGAACCAAAGGCTTGATTTTTTGAAACAAAAATGAAATAAATTTAGTTTCAGTGAATCAAATCTTTGAAAGAACGAAATTTCACAAATGAAACATTTGTTTGATCCTATTTTAACCAAATTTTGGTTAACCCAACTAAATGAATTTTTCAGTGTATGCGACGGTTAACGATGTACTTCGATACTACTGTGTGTCTCATTACGGGAATGCTGAAGTCGAACAACAAACTCGAAAAATGTTGCAGAGACGATCGTCACTAACACAATCACGCTATTTTCGTATTTCATAATTCTGTACAACCAATACGATGTTTGTAGAAAAATATCAGTATATTGTCTCAGTAAAGTTTTCAGTTTCAGCATTCCCTTAAATTACGTATAAAGTATAATTAATTGCACTTGAAAGGCCGGATGTACAACAGAGAGCCAATGAAATATATACATCTTGAATTACATTTATTTTTAAGTCTTTGATAATTCAATCATTAGTTAAACTTTCTTGGCCAATCAACGTAAGATAACGCGGCAGTCAACGTGTTAATGCATGTTTAACGAATCGTCGAGAATAAGAAAATATCTGAAATTTGAAATTTATTCGTAGAATAAAATTTATAAAATTTATTTTAACATTCAAGATTTATTCTAAGGAGATAGTCAGTTTTGTTCTCACAGGCTGTCATCATTTGATAAATAATTACAATTTTATGAATCTGTGAGATTATTTGTCAACCTATTTCATACGATAAGAGATATTGATCGTAACGGTGCTTGAATACGAATGTGTAATTAACTATGTTCTGGATCGAAGATCTGAAATAACTTACAATTACAAATGTCGACCTAAATCTCACAAGTGCTGAGACTGTATCTCCAATAATGGTCTTTGAAACGTGACTTTTATTCTGAATTTGTCAACGTCTTTTCTTCACTTCTGTTTATTCTTTGTTATTGTACATCCTGTTGATGTTTACATAATGGCTCTGTCTTTGTCTTTACACTTCTTTCTTCTTATCTCTTTCGAGTTTCCGAATTCTATCGAGGTCTCCGATATCGGAAAAAGAATAATAAGAAAAGGATCGTAAGTAAAGAACATTTGTTCTTTTATGTACTTTCATTGATCATTATTTATTCATTAATTATTTCATATTCGCTTCTCTTACATATTCCATCTGCAATCTCCAGTGAGGTAAATCATTAATACATTGCTTATTGACGTTGAGATTAAAAGCAAACAGAATATTGAGGTAATTGAATATGAAACAATTCTTGAATTGATGTTTCCTCGAGTTTCAACATAGAGAAAACAATAAGTATCTGCAGCATTAACGTAGAGCAATGGTCTGTTATATCTAAACATTTTCCATCGATCAATATAGGTCAATGTAGAACCAAAATTTCGGGAAAGTTATCTCGACGAGTCGTGTACAACCTAATTTGCGTACGACCACGAGGAAACTACTAAGCGCATCATTTCAACGCTCAAACTGCATTGCACGGTTGAGCGAGGCGTTTCAGCCGCGACACCCACGGCAATCTCCTTTGACGGGAGAACGATGGTGTCGCGGATAAGGGTCTTATCCGTCGATCATCGCGATCAGAAAACGAAGACTTGGCGCGCGCTCGCTAAGTTTCCTGCGGCGAAATCTCGATGACTAGGACGAAATCAGTCGTAGACGCTACGGCGTTCGCTTTGTCATGTTTACGGGATGTCTGGGGAGACCTTTATGGAGACCGCGGTGACTCTTAAATCCCGTTCGACGTGCAAGATCGAAGTCCCCTGCGATTTCCCGTAGGATAATAAATCCCGGGCTTCCTCGGGGGCGTCGCGCACGCACCATGCAGGAACAACGGCAGGGCTGTCGGCCCAATATCTCCTCTTGCTTCTACTTTACTCAGGGGGTGCGTCGCGTGACGGCGCTCAGG